CCAAAAAGGGCCTCAGCTCCTGTGAATGGCCATTGTACCCTCTGAGAGCAGAGTCTACAGAGACACAGCAGAAGAAGTTAAGGGGTACTTGTAGATAGTCACCGCCTTACAGGAGTTTGGAAGCTGTGGGCTTTGCTGGACTCCAGTCTGATATAAGCCTTGTGTGGCTTCTCAGTGGGGAAGGGGCATAAAATACACACAAAAATCCCTCAGGGGAAAGGATGGCCATAAGGACCTCAGAATTCCTATCTTACTTGTAATAAAAGTGATCCCTTAAAAATCACTAATTGGGAAATATGGTTAGAACTTCATTTTAATCTCAGACTGATGTTAAGTGTGACTAACAGATAAACAAACAAGCAGAAATAAAGAATATTTCATAGAGATAAAACAGATGTTACAGCAGATCTCCACTTCCTAGTAGCTGTGCTTAGAGCTTTCTGGAGGCTGTTTATTTCAAATAGGTTTCTCTATTATAGAACTGAGTGAAAGAGTTAAAAAAGACCTTTGTGGCAACTTTGGCATCAAACTAGAATGTAGACATTTGGGCATCAGCAAAAAAATGACCAACACAACATATACTAAGCATTCACTGAAACGTGACATGCTGATACCAATGTATTGTAGAAATAACACAGTTCATTCTGTCTTGGAGGAGAAATATAGCTGAACTTCATTCTCCTTCCTTTTGGAACCTGCTGGCTGAAAATGGCTTAAAACTTAAAGCACTAAACACCTTACATAGTTTGAATAATTTTTCCAAGACGCTTTACAGGCATACTTTCCATAGAGCAAGCAAAATTCTCTTCTGATTTCTGGAAACCAAGCCAGAGGTTCTCATGTAGAGATGATTTTAATTGCTAACTTCCCAACACAGTAGCAGGACCAAGTAGGGTGTCCTCCTCAAACTTTCTAATGAAGACTTTTACTGTGGTTGATAACTAATGCAAAGGTAATGCAACTTTGACTTTGAACTTTCCATGTGCTTCAGTTGTTTAGGCACAACATACATTTTGCATATCCATTTGGAAGTTAAATTTGTCTGGGCCATCACAGAAATGAAATCACTCGTTTCCTAGGCAGGGGAGACCACAGCAGGATAGAGAGGCTTTGCTGTTGAACCTCTGCCTGATTTAGTAATACTTAGTTACTAGGGTCTGATGTTGGAGCATCTGTGGGGTCCCTGCCTGTTCCTTTGCTTGCTTTTTGCTGCACTGCCCTGGAGCAAATTGGTTGTGGGAACAGCTGTTTAGAAGCTATCAGGAAAAGTCAGTTTTGGGTGAAGAAAACCCAAACATCAGGTAGGGTCCATCCATGTAAAATGAACATGCTGAAGCCTTACAGTTTACCCCTACTAGGGCAGGATAGGCGTGGTGTTGATTTCTAGCAATAATGTAAATTAATTTTTTTCTATAACTCTAGTAAATCCATTGTTGCAGTAGAATAATAAACCATAAGGTGCTTCATTATGCCTCAATAGTTGACAATGAAACTTGCAAAGCATAATATTTATATGTTTAATAAATAGATACTTTGCATTTCTTAATAATGCAGGACAATTTTCATAATTAGTATGCATTGATGCATCATTTTCATACATAAATTCAGTGTACATGACAGCCTGAGCATCAGTAAAGTAAAGCTATTAGCTTTCTTAGTTGTCAGTGAATGCTTTTATCAAATGTGCTAAGTCCACAGAGCTCGGATTTCAAAGAACAGGATTCATTTCAGATCACATCAGGAAAGAGCACCTGATTCTAATTGCTTTCCTAGCAGAAATGATATGGTAATCCATGATCTGATCACCATAACAGTCTTTGCAGAATTTTAGCTACTTTCTGAACTCATGGAAATTTTGGGAGTGCTCCAGTAAAAGTTTACCAGAAGAAGGCATTTTTCAAATTTGATGCTGTCTAAACCTTTGTGGAACATTGTATGCCACAATTGAAATGAAATAATGTATTTAAAGCTAAAACAGGTATGAAGAAAAGATCGTACATAGATCCACTGTTTTAGGGAAAAAAACCATCCTTTTTCTAATCTTGCTTATTAAACTTATAAACAGTATGTTAAAATCTAGCTTAAGATTGAAACAATTTTAGAGATGAAGCTTATTTAAAGATGAAGCTTTCACATTTTTTGTAATTATGCCTATAATAGCCAGGTGGAATTTATGGGCTTGTCTTGCAAATGACATTATGGACTCACAAATTAAAATGAATATAAATGGCAAACAAAATAGCATTGAGAGTTAATGTTTCCTAACTGAATAAGTAATCCTGTTTCAGAACACTGTTTAGCTAACAGATTTTCTCCTAATATTATTTGTGCATTGGTGCATGCTCAGTACATACAATTGTGCAGTCACAGGAAGCTGGGGAATTAGTGAACCCTACAGATTGGTAGGACATTGCCCATGACCTCCTCACCACACAGGTGATGTGCAGTAGCTGCTTGTCCAGACGTGGTCAGACAATGGCATAATGGCTGAATTTTGCCAGCTTTGCCCTGACTATGGGTGTTAGTTTGGGTCTTCCTCCTTTAGCCTAGAGATAATTTTCATAAAACTTAATTAGCTTTTAGACCATTTGTAGTTGAAATGGTCAGCTCTGTCAGAACTACAGCGGGAGAATTGAAAGGTGGGCATACAGTGCAATCTTATAACCATTTTTTTCTAAAGAAGGTAACTGAATGTGCAAAGTAAAAAACACAGAAATTAAGGGAAAAAGAAGAAATTAAAACACTAGTTTCATTTGACCTTCTTTTGCTTATGCAGTGCAATGTAATTTTTATTTAAGTGCTCCCATCCTGGCTTTCTCATGGAGATGCCCTGTTCTCTTTCCTGATAAACACTGGCTCCGAAATTTATTTATTCCTCTTGGCTTTTCCACTGTGTCTTATGGGGTTCCTTCCCAAAGATAAAATACTTCACTTCTCAAGGCATCCATGAAAATGAGTGTTCTCTCTCCTCCAGAATTTCATGAGGTACATGAATCATCTGAAAAATAATCCCAGCTGCATAAGCATAAAACATAGCCCTGGGAAAACATCATTTGGGTCAAAAGCACAGTTCTCCCTGACTTCAGCTGCAGTTGGGAATACTCCATGTTTACTAAAAGTTGGATAAAGGAACTCAAATGCATAACCCAGGAGAAATTAGGCAGCAACTGAAGCAAGCCTCACGTGGCTTGCCAGCAGCACACAAGGATGTAGGGACAGCTATCATTTCTCCTGGGCACCCTACAGCTGCCTAACCATGCTCTTTATTTGTCTCTGTAGTCTTCTGTATTGCTTCACCTTTATCAAATTCTGTGGTAAATACAGTGACTGTTTTAGAGAGTTTGAGTCTTTTTCAGATTTATACTGCAACAGGGTCCTTTGTAACCCATAATTAGCTGGAAGCTATTTGCTGACGTGTCAAGAGGAGTGTGACTTGAGATACAGTGATATTATTGTGATATAGTTGTTGTGATGAAGTCAGTCTGTTTTAAGATCAAATTATCCCAATTGTCTGCCTCAGTGCTGATCCAGGATGGACTCATTATGCTGGGTTGCTGTGTTGAAAAAGTTTTGACAGGCTGACTTTGTGCCAAATAAATACAATTAATCTTGCCTTAATGCAAGTGTAACATAAATTCTGTATCAGGCACAGGAATGTGATTACAGGTTTACACTTCATCCACATTATAATTTTTACTTTTGAATGGTCTGATGGTACAGGGGTCTTACAGGGGTCTTAAAGATCCAGTCCCTAGCCACGAGGAACATCATTTCAGGGAACACTCTGCTGTCTTGCCCCGTAACACCATGATGAGTATGGATATTGGAAATGCAAAGGTTCAAGAATTTATTTTTTGCAATGAGAAACTAATTAAACATAAGGGAAACTGAAATTTTTGAGAAGCTGATAAGGGAAAAAAGAGCCCCTTCAGAATTCATCTTTTGCTATAAATCTTGAAAGTGTAAAGCTTTGTAACAACAATGGGGGAAAAACAGTAAGCATAGCTTAGTTAGAGAAAATTAAAGCATTTCCTCCAAAAGTCATTCTTGGAAACGGCTGAATTGTTTTAGCCGAAATGTTCTAAAACAAACAGCATGATGTTCCCCAGCATGGAAACTTGAAGTACAAGTGGTTGCTCTTTGGCAAAATTATAAGCAATTTAAAACCTAAAAATAGAAAGTGACATTCAGTCCTAGACAAAGATGGCATGGTGAACTCTGCCCAGCTTACACAGAAAATCAGCAAACACAACAGGGCTTCAAAGCAAATACAAGCTGGTTCTGCAAATACTCCTAAAGTGATTCTTTCTTTGAGATTAGAGGGAGTATGAATCATCTATTTCTTACTAGAGATAGAGCCATCTGCCTGTTATAATGAATTTACATTTCTAATAGCCATCTTAGTTGACTTTAATCACCAGCAAGTGAAATTTCTGAATTGTTACTGAAGGCAACTATTTGATTTATCAGCATAATTAAGTTTCAGATAAGCCCCTTACTCTGCTTTCAATATTCATGCACATATTCTTATAGGTACCTAGAGCTTAAAACATGAAAAACCATGTAGCAGTAATTCTCTGTTCTGAGAACTGCTCCTTTCATGCTTACATTACAACAGCTAATACCCAGTTTGTGGCATGGACCTTTTGCAAGACCATCTCAGAGAGGCAGCGCTGGTCTGGCTAGAGAGCTGCTTGAGTGCAGGCCTGTCAGTGTAACACTGGGAGGGAGGTGTGCGGCACTGTCACCTTCGCTCTGGTGAATTTACATCTCCAGCACTGTGTAGCTATTATTATCTTTGATACGGGCGGGGAGGTTCACTTGAGAGCTGGGTATTTCTCTGAGGTCACGTAGCAAATGAGGATGTGTCTCACTCCTATGTTCTGCCTGCAAAAGCCTTATTTCTAAATACCATTTAAATTTCTTTCTTTTCTTTTTTTTTCCTTTTTCCTTTTTTTTCCTTTTTTTTAATCCCTGGTGTCTGTGTGTGGGTGTTGAAGATTGCAGGTACACCTGCCACGCTCACTGCCAAGACCTGGTGCACCTGGGCTGCCGGCGGAATGGAAAATTAATGGACTGCCTTGCCCCACATGACACCTTAGATTCATCCTACAGCAGCAGTCAGGTAAGAGATCTGCTCGTGTAATTACTGCTTTCTCTTGTCAGCTCTGTCCTGAAGTGTGGTCTGCCTGCCTCACCTGCCTGCTCGGGAAGAATGTCTCAGGCATGGATTTCCCACCCGGTGCTGTGATTTTGCAGCACAGCTGGGTCGAGGTGCAACTGGCTGCTGCCAGCTGGGTCACTCCTGCCCCAGTCAGTTTTCAGCTAAAAGACTGAAAAGTAATCCCACAAAACAGTGGTTTTCCTGTTGGTTCTGGCCACTGTGGGGCCATTTACACCTAATCAGTAGAAACCTCTGAGATGTCACCTGTGATAACAACAGACACCCTCCTGTTTTTATTTTTAGGGGAGAGGGAGGATGAAGAATTGTGGCAATTTTTTGTGTAGAAGTTCCTCTTTTCAAGCCTTTTATTTGAGCACCAAAAAACCCCTTCATTAACACAGGTCGGGTCCAAACTTAGAGTGTTACTGTTTTGACTGAAAAGCATTATTCAAAACATAATTAGTGAAAACAAACTGGTATATGCACATCCACAATGGTCAATTTAACCCTTTTACTGTCTTTAGAACTCATATTGAAGAAATGTCCTTATTGGGGGAAAGGGTTAAAACCCAAACAATCCCAGACACAGCAATCATTGGTAATGCTCATTTTATTCACTTTATTCACTGTAAGAATTTATGTTGTTCACTGTAAGAATCAAGAGAGATTGATAGAACAGCCTACCCTGACTTTCATTATCCACAGAACTGCCAAGCACAGGCTGCACTATGCTAAAAGTGACCAACTGTAAAATTTGTGCCCACCCAAAACACTTCTGTCTCCAAGAAGTCTCCTCTTCCCATCCTTCTACCCCACCATAAGATGCATAAGTTCATTAAACTAATGTTCTGACACACACCAGTTGTACACCCTGTGTCACTTTTCCTACTCAAGGGATATAATTTAGCAGATTTGTGGGATGGGTTGTTTGGGTCTGTGTTGGGGTTTTTTTCCAATAATGTTGTACAGAATAAACATTTTTAATTTAAGTTAAGCATATTTTGGTATCTTACTAAGGTCTTAAAAGACAATTTTGTATGGCAAGAAACTATAATTCTTGTGTATTTTTTTCTTGTGGCGTTGTCCATAATATATAGTGGAGGCAGTATAACTGCCCTCACAAGCTGCCCAATTATGTACACGAGAGATTGCTCCATAAATATATTAACACACTACAGCAGATACCCCTTGTAGACAGCAACTTCTGCTTTAAATTTTTCTTTTCTGAAATCAGTCTGGTCTGAAGAATCAAACAGATGCCACTTGTCTTCAAAGTCAAGACTATCTTCGTACTTTAATTTACCACTAGTGGGATATGCAGACACAGGTGATTGTAGCCATAGCCCTATTTAAAGGCAGATACTAAATAATACTAGGGAGGGCAAGGCAATCCTCCTTGAGGATTGCAAAAATTTATTCTGAGTCAGCTCTGAAGCCCAGCAACACAATCACTAACTAAAGATGATGCACTGCCATTTCAGTGAAATAGTCTGAAGACACAGAAAGAAAAGCAGGCTTAACTTGGTGGGAAAAGCAGCAAGTAATATTAATGCACAGTTGAGATACAACCCAGTGCTTATATTCCTCTATGATGATCACTTACTCACTGGTGAATCAACCAAAGAAGTATTTTTTCAGCGAATTCCAAATTAAAAAATAGTGCAATGCTTTTCCTTTCCAGCTTCCTGTTAAGCAAAATTCTTATAGCATATACAGAAGGCCTAAAATCCAGCTGGGAAACATTTGTGATGGACAAAGTTAGACTTTATCCTCAGCACTTGCCATAGACATGTCAGACAGATTCCAGGAAGCATTTTTATAATTTTATTTTTTTAGCAGGAGAAAAAATGGAACTTGCTACAGACTTATGTCAAAACCAATTTTTATGAAATGATAATTCTACCAAAAAAGTAAGACAATCCAGCTAAGTAAAAACAATATTTAGTAACACAAAGATGTGTAAAGGCTTCTAGTGACTAGAGTGATTGTTCAGGATAGTCCTGGAACAGGCTGCCCAGGGAAGGGGTGAAGTTACCATCTGTGGAAATGTTCAAAAAATGAGTAGACATGGCACGTCACAATATGGTTTAGTGGCTTTAGTAGTATTTGGTTGAAGGTTGAACTTGATGATCTTGGAAGACTTTTCCAACCCTAATGATTCTAAAACTTCTGAGCACCCTTGTTGAGCTTGGTGTGTGCCCTCCAGGTCATCCCTGAATTTTCCCTGCAAGTGCAGCATTTTATTTTGTAGAAGCTCCACCCAACTGTCCAGCCCCCCCAAACTGTGACTGAGGACATGGTGCCTCTCTGTGAGCTCTGTGTGTCTTGCTGTTGGGAAGACTGAATGGGAATAACTCAGATGCTGAAAGGCAGAGCAGCAGTGATGGAGAGGAGGAAGCACAGGGCAACACAGGTTTTGGAAGTGTGGGTGACTGTCAGCAAGAAAATACAACGGGAGCAGAGAGAGAAGGGCATTAAAAATAATTATTACTGAAAAAGACACTCACAGCTTGCCTGTGAGAGATCTATAAAAGAGCAAGTGCTGTCCTGGGTATGAATACTGAGCAAGGAAACAGTTTCTTGCTCTTTGAGCCTTACAGGACTTAGGGGAGCCAAATTTCATGTGCATTTGTTTGTGTGCAACAAGCCTGCATCAAAGAAGTACTGTTTTTTCCTACTGATTTCCTTCCTCTTGGAAGAAGCCACACTTTGGCTGCTTGCAGTGGGTGACAGTTGTTGCAAATCTCTTTCCTCACTAGCTGTTTGGGTCAGTGTGTGCCTGACAAGTGATACACAAAAGATGAGGATTCAAATGCTATTTTCAGCATCCATCATCCACTGGTTTTGAGGCAGCAACCATTTACATGCAGAAAATCTGGAATGTTTCCTGTTGGGTCATTTTCTTTATGCACGGCTGTCCCACATGCACAGAGCAAACGGAGCTGCCACAGGAATCTGCAAGGTTTGAATTTGCTCCTTCCTCTGCTACTGACCTGCTCAGACCACTTTGTCTTTCTAGGACTTGTCTACTTCTCTTGTAGGTAAAAAAGAAATTAGAATTTTAAAAAATAATTTTAATATCTCTGAATGGGACATTGTTGCAAAAGCTGACATTAGGTTACTATTTAATTAAACACAACTCTCAGCTCAGCTGCCTTCTCAAAATTACTATTTTCTTCCATGCTAAAATTTCCTGGACTTTATCAAACTTAAAGGTGATTTTAAACTTTCTGTTTAATGTTTGAACCTGCATCTCATGTATAAAACTGAACAGGTGTTTAGTATAAGGTCGTGAAGGGGTCAGGGGATGGGAAAAAGATGATGGTAAAAAGACTGAACCTATCTTCTTTACAAAATTATTCTTGCATTCTTACTCTGTGGATGGTGTCTAGTCTGCAGGTTTTATTTAGATGCAGGACTGTGTGCTTTTGAATCTAATCTTCCAATTGTCTTTACTTTCCTTGTTTTGGTTGATATCAGGGAGTAGTCATAGGAGAAGGATCAATTCCACTTCAGGTGAAAGCTGAGCTGCTTCCTGAAGCCTCTGAGGAGAGGCACTCCAGGAGCCAACCTAACACACAGTCCACCGGATCAAAGCAGAGATTTTCTTAAGTAAACGTTATGAAGGGTTTATATTGAGGACTTTGGATTCTCAGTGCCACTTGCTGTCTTTTACAGAGCTGTGTGCTGCACTGCATTTTTTGCTAAAATAGGCATTAGATTCTTGGCACAGAACTTTTCCCAGTGATGCCTGCTTTTGCTTTATCTATATCATGACTTTGAAAATCACATGACATGCAAAACCAGTTAATTTTGCATGAGCTATGCTAGTCAAATGCAGAGTTGCAAAGATCACACATGTATTTGGGAATGCGTCACCTATACAGTGAACATCAGTTTAAATTGTGAAGGGATTTTGCAGGAACATTCAAATTTTTTAGTATTGCTAACAGACTATATACAGTCCTGGGATTCATGCCTTTTCTTCCTGGGACAACTGCTTTGTTTTGAAGTGCATTCTTTTAAAACACTAAAGCACTAGTTTGAAGTCATTGTATTGGCACTCTTGTGCTGGTACAGGTTAAAGAGTCATGGCACCTCTGTATTTGCATATGCTCCTTCAAACACAGAGAATATTACTTTGTGATGACAGTAGGCAATGCTTTGAACTCTAACTCTCTAACAACATTTCAGATTGGGCAGGCAGTGTGAATTTATCTCCTGCTTGGTACAAACTGCCCTTCACTCTGCTGCAGTGACCTGGTGGTGCCCCCAGTGCAGCAGAGCTTGGTGCCCAGCTGAAGCTCCTGGTCCTGAGTGCTTGTTCATGCCTCTACACTCTTCTGTGTTCCCCTTGCTCTTCCACTCCCAGTGGCACCAGGATTGCTGGTTTTGGACAATGCTCTTTCAAAATGGGTCAGGAAAACGTTGTAGCTTCTAACCTTTGTCCTTGCAAAGCCCAATCAGCTCTTTAGTTCTCAACACAGCCTGCAAACAGTGCTGTCAGCACACCAGGGGCTGGGTGTTGTGATGTGGCTGGAACACCTTAAACTCCAAATAACCTTGAACAAATGTCATGTTGAGACACAGTTTGAGAATCTAGACTTAAGATTTCCCTTATGGGAAAGAGGAATTTCTTACAGGCTCTTAACTGCTGATTTTGCAAAGAGAGTCTACAGATTTCCAGTGGATTTCCCTCCTGTGCAATTCTGCCAGCAACTGGAGCACTTGGGTGCACACAGGAGTGGTCAAACAGTCTCAGAATCTGGAATGTGGTCACACAGCTTGACTTTGTTAGCAAGTCATTGGAGCTCAAAAGACCTAATTTTTGAGCTTCTTTTTCTCAGTGTGTATATATACACACATAAATATTTCATTATAAAAAGGTCAAGGAAATTCCACTATGAAGCTGTTCTTACACATCGCTAAGGCAGCGGGGTTAAATACTTGAAAACGAAACT